AATATATATATATTCTCTATATCTAAATACTTCTGTTTATATAAAAAAAAATATTATATATTTAAATATTTTCTCAGTATCGAATATAATAATTTCTTTTTTATATAAAAAATTATCTTATGTTTCTATTGATCCATTTGGATAGTCAAGATATAGTGTGCTTCTAAAAATAATAATATAATTTTATTGATTTTGTCTCTTATTCATAATTATTTATATACTAGTTTTCAACATATATTGTTTTAGTAATTCAAATGGGAGATTCACGAGGAAATAATAAAGAAAAAGGAAAAGAGAAAGAAAATTATGAAACTTGGACCAAGGAGGATTTCGATGAATTGTTACAATTGATAGTGGATGCTATAAAAAGAGGATAGGATATTATGGAGAATTATCATTATTATTTATCTAGACATTATTATTTTTCTTATTATTTTTGTCTTTGACTCTTTTTAAATTTGAATGTATGCATTTTTTTTAAAATCTTATTAAATGTCAAAACTCCACAAAATCTCATAGAATCCATTAAAATCCTGATTTAAAAATCTTACAGAATCCATTAAAATCCTGATTTTAAGTATTATGGAATCTTCCAAAATCTTAAAAGTCATGAAAATCCTACAAAGTCTTTTAAAATCTGCAGGATTTTTTTTAACTAAAGAAGTCCTTTAAAATCCTAATCCAATACACCCCCCCTAAAAAAACACAATACATTTTTGAATGCCCTAAACAATCGATTGTCATAAGTAAAAATCAATTTTCATATTTTAAAAATCAATTGTAGCATATTCTAACTTTCTATCAATCTTGTTTAAAAAAATAAAACAAAATTCTATCGATCTTAATCCGTTAATAAACATTCATACCAGCTACTAAATAGAATCATTAGAAGATGATGTAGTGATAAGAATCGGAGTAATATTCTCAATATGATACAAGTGTTATTACGATAATCGTAATCTTTTCCACTAATAATAAAAATATATATCAGCCACTAAATGCCAATTATTGGTTGTCTGCTAAACAAAACTGCCACAAAATTTAAATAACAACACTTCTCTGGTCCATTTCCGCTGGTTTATGCCTGAAAGTGAAAAAAAAAAAATTCCCCTTCTCACATATTTATGCCATACAATCTCAGTGCTTCCCACATTGCTCACATTTGTTCATCCTCTTCCCCCATTTTTTCAGTGTACCAAATAAAACTTTTTTATTCATGTAGTCATTTTCATGTTCTTTAAATACTAGTAAAGAAATTTATCAAGAAAAAAGAATTACATTAAACTTTTGCGATCATACGAATGAAATTGCCCAAAGTCATGGCATAAAGAACCAAGTTGAAATGAAAATAAGATTCCAATTATTTATGATTTTGATTTTTCCCTTCACATCTCAGCAACACCTTCCCAATTACAAGAATTGAAGAAGAAGAGAAATTTCAAAAAACATCAATACAAGTAAGGAATGACCCCCTTCCTCTCCTTCGGATAATCCTCCCCAAACTTGTCCAAATACCACCTCCTATTCGCGCGCGCCCTGGGCCCCAAGTTCGCAAAAGTGTAGACGCAGAAGCCGAGCCCGGCCCACGACCAAGTCATGACGGCCCAGCCCAGCCACTCCACAATCTCCCCAAAGTAATTGGGGCAGGCCACGAGCTCGAACAGGCCTCCCCCGGGCACCACGTAGCCCTTCCCCTGGCCCTTGAGCCGCAGCAGAGCCCTATCGGCCCAGACATTGATCCACATTCCGCAGAAGAACAGGAGAAGCCCAAGGAAGAAGCGGGGCCAGAAGAGGCCCGTGGAGTAGTCGATGTAGTGCGAGACGGAGCGGGCCTGGAGGTAGGAGTTGAGGGAGTTGAAGGTGAAGGCCATGAGGGCGACGGCGAGGGGGAAGGGGGTGGGGGCCTTGGAGGGAGGCGTGAGGAGGAGGCGGAGGGGGTAGAGGACGGTGCGGTGGAAGTAGTGGAGGAGGAAGGGGGCCATCAGGGTTTGGGCCTTGGGGTCGGAGGCGTGGCGGCCCAGGGGGAAGAGGAGGAGCGTCAGCCAGAGGGTTGGGCTCTCCATGAGGAACCAGGCCAGGGGGGGAGAGATGGTGGGCCCCCATCCGGGCCTGTGGTGCTTGCCGTAGGGGGCCTGGAGGAAGGCGAGGGAGATGAAGGTTGGGGGTGCTATTAGGAAGATGGTGAGGAGGGAGTAGTGGAAGAAGGATGAGTCGTCTTCGATCATCATGCTTCTTGCGTTCGGATGAGGTCCATGTCACAGACAGTATATGAGTGAGCCTCTTTTATCACAAATATTCACCTATAATAGAAAAAAGGGTAAAATCACTCGCATTATTATTATTTTATTATTACATTAAAATACTTTTTTAATTTTTATAATTTCATTAACTTTATCCTTTAATTATTATAATTATATATATATATATAATTTTTAATATTTTTAACATTTCTCGTTAATTTCTTTTTATAAAATTTGTGTAAGTGACATGGGTTTAATGAATCTAATTAATAATAATGTATTTGATTCTATGAAAGGTCTAGAAGAAAAAAAAATGAAAATAGATATTTTTATTGATTTAGTAATCACATATCATTCTTACAAAAAATTGAAATTAACAATAAAAATTATAAATTTAAAAATTTAAAAATATATTTTAAACTATAAATAAAAGTAAATAAAACAACATAAAGTAAAATAAAAATATTTTAACCTTATTATTATTTTAGGCTTTAAAGGCTTTATATACGCATCTGATTCCTGTACAGCGGGTCAGCATCCCAAAGCATCCTAGCATTTAAGACATGAGAAATTGACTACATTTAAGATAGGATATGAACTCTAATCGACATCGATTGTATCTGCATTTGACATTGATGGTTCAGGTGGTGCCCTACACGTGTTAATAAATTTACTCATGCTTGAAAATGCTGTTTTCTATGTTGCCAGGTGATTTGATTTTTTACTCAACTATTTGCAAATTTTATAACATTGTAACAATTTATTTCGATTAGATGTGCCGCTTGCATGTTGGATGAATCTTGTAGAGCTTCTTGCAATAATGTTAACATTGCAAATTATCTATAGCTGAAGGTTTGAGGTTGATAGAAACATGATTTCTTATTAAAAACACATAGGGATAAAACCCAATTACATGATACGGAAACACTGCAGAACTTCAAGGCCCTGCACCTCCCAATGCCAAAGGTCACAATTCTGTCATAAAATAACAACATACCTCTCACTCCTAACCTCCCATCTTATTTATAGGCAATATTTATGTCCTATGTATTCGAACTGTCTCGGCCCAACTAACCAACTTTCTCAGAAACATTATATTTATGATTTTGAACTAACATATATTGTTAATTCAGAATTATATTGAACGTGATTATGTTTATGTCAGTTACGAATTTTATGAATTATTGAAATTATTTAATAATGTGGATGACTGTTCTGGCAAGAAAAAACAGGTTGTATGAAGACCACCCTTATTTTGAACCAAAATTTTAAGCTAGTGAAGTGTTTAAATTGACCACTTAAGTAAAGTGTTAAAACATTAAAAATGGTTCTAACTTGTGCTTAAATTTGGTTAAAGTTTAACCCATCATACAAGTTGCTTCTTGGAACCAGCTACATACACAGAGGCATATATGTGTGTGCATATATATGTGATATGATTGACTACTTGTGTTATTATTAAACATTTTGCATATATGTATGATATGGTTGACTACCTGTGATATTATTGATCGATTTACTAATTGAAAAAGTATTTCTGATCTCTTCTCCTGGTTTCATCTTCATTTATTACATGATTTAATCCAGAGGCATGTGCAGCAATCTTATTAAAGAGCTCTAAAGCTGCTCCGAGGGTATATATGTGATGCCAGTACTTGGATTCCTTCATTTCATAATATATTTAAGTTTATTTTTTTTATAATCCTTTGCGCTGAAAAAACTGAAGATTACAGCCGCTGAATTGTGCAAATTACAAATTGCAGACGGTGTTATACCTGTAGGAAATTATTAATTATGCATTTTTTCTTGAATCATATTCATATACATGGAATTTATCATTTTAATGGTATAAATATTAATATATAGGTAATAAGTATTTCAGTGTTCAGGCAAATTTGTCAAACCAATAACTGCTGCTATGATTTGTTCTAATTTTATCTTTTCTTGTACAATATAAACATTTATGATTGCATAGATTGATAACACTATTCTCTTGGGAATAGTATCTAAGTAGAATTTCAGTTGATTTTTTCAATAGGAGTCACTTGGTGGTGCACATGCAGATTCAGAATGGACCTCTAAACAGATAAAAAAAAAATGCAATCAATGAAACCATGGATGTAAGTTTTATTGGAAGACAGTGTTCTTTTGAAAACAAATATGTTAAAGCATGGGTTAACTTTGGAAATTTGGATTGTCCATTATGTAGGAGCTCACCAAGATGAACACAGAAGACCTATTAAAACATCACATAAGCAACAGATTTTGGAAGGAATGTTGATCATGTCTTGAGTAATCCTAGAATAAGGGAAAAGTTTGAAGCATTAAAGGCTGAAATTAAAGGTGTTGGTGTATCCTCACCAAGTGATTTGGATAATGAGTTGAAGAAGAAAATCGTTGAGTTTAGGAAAGAGATGGACTCACAGCTGGTTAATGCTCTGGAGTCAGCAGGCTTTGAAGTCATTGTAAAACAAGACAGAAAAGAGTCAGGTGTGGAAGAATTTAAAGAAGAAATAGAAAAGCAAATTGAAAGTCTTGTAAACTCATAAGATGATATCAAGAGCATGATAACGCAATTGAAACCAGAGGTGGCCAAGGGTGGAGAGACTCCTGATTCAGAATCAAAAATAGAATTGGTTGATGTTTTTGGCACAAAAAATTAAGTAGAGCCTTGTGGAGGCCATTGATTCATCTAGCTCAAAAGATCAGTACGTAAATCTGGTTTCTGAAAGTGAAGACAGAAGTTTGAAACGTGAAGATCCAGCAGAAGACAATCTCACTGCTGACGAGTTAAGAGTGCAAGTTGGTGCAAACTGCAATATTTCGTAATGTGATATGGTTGACTACCTGTGACATCTAGCATTTTATCTGTTGTGTTTGCCATTGAAAATTGTACTTAGTGATGCTAAGCTGAAACCTACATCCTGACATGCAATAGAAAAGGTAGTTTTAAGAAGATTTTATGGGATTGCAGGGAATAATTAAGGTTGGATTTATGCATCTAATCTCTTTACTTCATTTGAAATTGAAAATGAAAATTTGGTCATGTTGGAGAAAAGGATACACACTAAAAAGGGGTTGAATAGTGTATATCAAAAACTCCCATTTTTTGTACAGTGAAGAGAAATAACTTTACGAGACAAAGCGCTAGAATGCACAGACAAAGGAGCACAGATCTTTTATACTGGTTCGTCTCAAACCCAAAAACTACGTCTAGTTTTTAATCCAAGCAAATTGAGTTTCATTACTTTCAAAAGATACAAGTATTCTTTAAATAAGTCACTTCTGGCTCAATCTTAAATAGTGTTTGACTTGCCTCTTTAAGCAACTATCCAAATATTCTTTCAACAAGTCTCTCCAGGCTTAACACTAAATATTCTTTTCAACTAAGCCTCTCCAGGCTCAAACACTAAGTATTCTTTCAACAAGTCTCTCTAGACTTAATACCAAGTATTCTTTTCAACCAAGTCTCTCCAAGTTCAAACACAACATTCTTTCAACAAGCCTCTCTAGGTTCAACACCAAGTATTCTTTTGAACAAGCCTTTTCAGGCTCAATCTTTACAAATAGATTTGAAAGAGTTACAAGGATAGTGTCTAGATTTGAAAGAGTTACAAGGATAGTGTCATCTCTTCTAAGCACAAATAAACTGTTCAAGACATAATGTATCTATAAGGTATGAACTTCGTTTATTTTCTTTTTCTTTCCGATTTCTCGTATTGTATATCTCTATCCTTCTTCACTTTTTTTTGTCTTGATTGAAAATCCCTTATATAGTAGCTTGGAAGAAAATGACCATTGAACAATCTTCTTAGGATGCTTTGTTTGTCTTCTCTTCGAGATGAGAGAGACAATACATTAGTCATTGCTAGGCATGACAATCTAACCCGTTCCTGTGAGTACCCGTCCAAACCCGCCCCGATTTGAATGGGGAAAACTCATGTTTATCGGGTTCGGGTTTAGGTTCGGGTTTTCCCCGATTGATAAAATCGGAGGCGGGGGCGGGGATGGGGATGTTAATACCCACCTCGCCCCCGCCCCGCTTAATAATATAATTAAAA